ACTCCTTAGCCAAGTAGGCAACTACACTACTTTCCTTTTCCTCTTTTGAAACAACATCGTTCTAGCTAATTGGCGCTTCAAGATCAGGGTCATTCCTTTATTACTACCTCCGTCCCATGATTATTATCCAGTTTAAATTTTTAGTTTTAGTACAAATTAAATTAAAATTAAAAATCCAAATAGACAATAATTTTGGGACGGAGAGAATAGTTTATTTCATGTGGGTTAATTTCTAACTCAACTATTTTCTGTTCCTCATAATTAAAGAAGTCTGAAAAAAAACAAAAAACAAAATACTTATGTTGTGCACATATTCAATCAATTCATAAGTGGTTCAATTAGAAGATATAAAAATATCCTCATACGTAACACGTTGAAAGAATGGGGGAACCCACTGTTAATAATTCACAGAGACCTAAAAGAAAAAGAAAACAAAAAACTCATCACCGCCGAATTTGGAACAGTGAAATGGTTGTGATTGTGTCTTGTCAGTCTTACTCGTACCAGAATATTGATTAACAAATATTGTTGGTAAAGTCTACGGGAGTGAAGAGTTGACTCCACAAAATTTTGAAGTCAAACACATCGAATTCGATGCCATATTTTGGCTCACGCATTCTGAACGTGGCACACACGTTTGGAACACATACACTTTTAGGTGTTAGGTTTTGGCCACATTAAGGAGAGGAATTCGAAAGTATACGAGGCATAAGCAATGTTTATCATTTTCATAGGTCAACCACAAACTATGCAAAAATTTGGAGAAACAAAATTCAGAACCCAACAAACAGTTATCCTTATGGTTTTGTACTCTATTACTCATCGCTTCAGAGTGATTAACTCTTATGTTTTCATAAGTCTGGGAGGGTTGAGTGGGGTGGTTAGGGAATTAAGATAGGGATGATTATTAACAAAAGGTTGATGGTTCAATTCTCACTGGGACCATCTAATTTTTTTTCTTTTAAATTAATATTTTAATGCTTAAGGTGTTTTTTTTTTAATCTTTTCTTCGGAAAACCTTATAAATAAAGTGGCAAAACAAAAGTTACTGAAAATATGTGAAAAAAATTCTCTTAATTCCGTTTGGTGAGACTGCCTTACTCCTTCTCAAAGGAGACATCTTGAACTTATCACTTTGTGTAATTAGTGATATCAAAGTATTCGATTCTAGATGCTACGTGAATAGTGATGCACTTCTAAATTCAAGTTTTTAGTTGAAGAGGAAAACATAAAAAAAGACAATCAAGGGGTGCTTGGTTTTTTTTAAGGGAAATACACGAAAGAAAACAACAAATGACAGTGAATGATACTCTCTCCGTCCCATAATTATTATCCAGTTTGGGTTTTCATTTCTAGTTCAAATTATATTAGAAGTGAAATTTTAAATTGGACAATAATTTTGGGACGGAGAGAATATTAAAAGACTACAAGCACTATTATGATTTTTTTAGTTTGGTTAACATTACACAATCATCAATCTAAATGATTGTGATTGGTATTGTTTTCCATTCTTCCCAAATAGAAAATCGTCCAAGAAGAAGAAGAGACAAGTAGGCTGTTGCCCATTCGGATGATTTATAGCCCAGTTAGATAAAATGAACAGCCCAATTGAGAATGTTGGACTATATCAACTTTCTCCATCTGCATTTGCTCTATACTAAGTAGTAATGTTCATTTTAGCCTTTTTTTGTTTTTTTTTCATTACTACACACAGTATCTTAAGTACATCCACTCAGACTAATTTGCTAGTCTCCTTTAAAAGAAAAAACTCTCCCAATATTGCTCCTTCATATGTTCATTATAAATTCTTTTGTTTTTTGGTACAATAAGACAAATCCTAAAAATCTATACTATTACATTTTGTGAATGAAAACTCCCGACTAAGTAGTGTTATCACCACATAAATCAGATCAAGTATAACAAGGAAAAATTTAACACTTCTATTTTGGATACAATGTATGACATTCATATTTTAAATAATACCACAACACCATTCTTCAAAAACTCTTTGGGACTGTAGATCCCAAATTCGTCTTATCATTATAGCTAGGGGTGTTCAAAAAAACCGAAACCATTTAACCAAATCGTAAACCGTTCAAAACCAAACCATTAAACTGTAACCAACGGTTAAGGCAGTTAAACGGTCTTGATTAATTGATTTCTACAGGTTGAATGGTTCGGTTTACGGTTGAGACATCACCTCGACCAGTTTAACTGATTAACCATTAATTCCTTCATATATATATATATATATTGTTAACCGATTAACTGATTAACCTTTATATATATATATATATATATATTTTTTTTGTTACTTCTAACTTTTGTTGTTTTAATTATATGATAATGTATAGACGTAATACACATTTAAATGTAGTATATCATTTTAATACATACATGTGGATGTGATGTATATTAAACATGGTTGACAAATGATGAAATTTTCTTCTTTTTTTTTTTTATAATTTTGAGACATAATTTAATTGATAGGCCTTTATATAATTGAGTGTCTCGTTCAAGATTTTGTTTTTTTTTCCCTTTACGAAGATGTTCGTTAAAATAATTGTGTATGTTAGTTTTTATATGTTCTTTCCCTAATTTTGTGAAATTATTAGAAAATTAGAATCTACAAATACATTTTGTAAAGTATTAAAACTTTTTATCGGTTTAACCATTAAAAATCAGAAATACGACCAAGAGCGTTTAACCAAAACCGCCATAACCGATATATAATTGGTTGATTAATCGATTATTATGAGAAAATTCAAAAACTGTTATTATCCGAACCGTTTAACCGGGCAAATCACTTAAATCGTCCGTTGAACACCCCTAATTATAGTTTTGTTAAGATGTGAAGATCATTTTTTCTTTCTTGGGCTTACAGGCTCATTATTATCATAAATGTGATGCTTAAAGTTCTGATCTGGATTTCCAGGCCCAACTTTTTCCGCAGCCATCAATTTCATATACATCTTAATAATGTTCGTCCAACAAAATATATTATACTGTTGTCTTTATAATGTACTCATTTCGTCCCAAAAAGATAGTCTAATTATTGTATTGATGATATATATGTCTCTGTAACGATGGAGTGATTAATAGGTACTATGTTGTTTCTTATGGACATATGAAAAGATATTTTTTTAACACATTGAATATAATTATTAAAACTATTGAAATTTTCAACAATTACATGGTCTTGTATGAGAAAATGATTGTTTAATTTAATAAATAAATGTTCGCTTCCTCCCAAACTAATTATTAAAAAAAAAGGTCGAACACATTTTCACAAAGTTGCAGCTGAAACATGTTTTTTGGAATTTTTAAGAGACTAATTAAATACATAAAATCGAAATAAATATTACACCCAAGACAAAGTCATAAATATTTTTCTTACATAAATTATCATTTGTGAATAGTATATACTCACTCTTTCTCAAAACAGTTTTTTTTTTATTACACTATTTTGGTAGAATAAATTAAATAATAGATGCAGGGGAGTGTACATAAAAAATCAATGACATAAATAATGATTTTTGTTAAAAGAAAAAAGAAAAAAAAACACTAAAAAGGAAGGTAGCAAATACAATCAGACATAGGAAAACATATTCCGATAGAGAAATTGAATCTGCTTTTGAAAATAGGGAAGCCATCCTTGAGCGCGCAAGAATAACTTGGAATAACTTGTCGAAAGTCGGCGAAGAAGGTAAATCATCTCTGCTCTTCATCGAAATAGGGTTTCGTTTGCTATTTTGTTTTCGGGCTCGAACTCTTGGTGGATTTCTGTAGTTTAATTAGCTAACGAACGTTTTGGGATACCATTCGGAAAAAAATTAGGGCAATAATTTGTTGGGCCCGTTCCCCTTCGATTGGGCCAACAAAGAAAAGGATAATAAAACCAAATCAACTTGGATTTTAGTTTAGGTGTGACGGATAGAAACAAAACCTACTCTAATTGGGTTTTAATTTTCTTTTGACTTTGCTCTATAAAAGCAAGACTTTGTGCACAATTTGTGCATGTGTTTTCGACCGAGAGAAAAAGAAAGAAGGGTAGGGTTTAGTTTTCGGTTTCGCTCTCTTTTGGTGAGATCCTTCCAGTCCTACTTTGTGGTTTAGGTTTAGGTGTGTGTGGAAGACTATTGTTGTAATCCACCTTTGGGTGAAGTCCTGTGTATCCACTGGTTGGTGAAGATTGTTTGTAATCCACCTTTGAGTGAAGTCCTGTGTATCCACCGGTTGGTGAAGATTGTTTCCCATTATTGTGATAGTGGAGATTTGATTGTTGTTACAGTCTCGTAATTTTTTCCGATTTGGATTTCCACGTAAATTCATGTGCCTCCTTTATTTTATCAGTTCTTGAATTATTTTACTTGTTTGGTTGTCCTATTTTATTGATAATAGGAAATGAGTTTTCCTGGGGATCGTTTCTGCTGTTTTGTTGTGTTTATACCCTTTCCGCCGCAACATAATCCACATACATCAATTAAAATAAACTATGTTTAGTTTTCAGTCTGATTTTCTTTGATTTGCTCGGATTGAATTGAAGGTGAGAACGATCGACCATAACCCATGTCTACTATTGATGAAAAGGTGAAAATCTCTGCCACTTTAGAATTCTCTTCTCTTCAATTCTCCGAACTAGATTTCTTTGTTTCAATTCCCCTTTTGAATTTCCGTTATATAAAATTTTCATTTGATTACTTTGTTTGGTTTGCTTTTATTGAAGGTGGGAACAATGGATCTGAACAATACCCCTCGACTTCTCCCGTCCCCAGTTAGTTCTTTTTTCCCTCTTCCTTTTATATAATTATCATACTCCTATGCTTAATTTTTGGATATAGATTCCAGTTTGGTCTCTCTTTTCTATTTGGTTTGATTTTTTTTTTTTTTTGTGGTGGTATTTATCTCAGTATTTTTACCGCCCTTTCGAAAAGGGAACCACATCTATGAGTTTCATTTTCAACAATGAAACGGTTATGGTAGCTGTTGATCATTCCAAGATGTCCATAGCACCAGGACCATCTGATGAATGTAAATATCCATACAATGTTATTGTACTCAACTCGCACTTGCTTGCTTCTTTTTCTGGTGGGAAGTTAGCTTCGCGTAGACATCTGCTCGAAGATCTGCCAAAGAAGGTACTTTAATTGCAGCTGTGGACACTATGTTAGAAGCTGTTTACCTGCAATCTAAGAACTGACTGTTGTAATTGATGTGGGACATTGGATGTGTTTTAGTGCCAAGAACATGAACTCAAGGAGGGGAGAAAAGCTTCTGCTGCTGAAGCGTCGAAGTGGCTGGCTGAGTTTCTGTCCCTTCAACCTGACTGCGATAATAGCTTCTCACTTGGGATACTGATCGCTGGGTGGGACGACGAATCTGTAATCATCACAATTCTCTGTTCTGTTTGATTTTTCCTATTACTCCGATTGAATTGATCATGGTTTGTCTTTCTGTAGGGACCTGTCCTGTATAAAGTGAACGGTAAGGGAAATGTGCTTAAAGACTCGTTGGCTGGAACTGGATCTTGTGCAAGGACTGTTTTTTATTCGATACCACGTATGTCTCTTCTCCCTGCTTTGAGTTGTAACGCTTAAACTGGCCGTTGCCTTCCTTGCTTTAATATTCAGGAATTGGTCTGTCTTGGTGCACCAGGCACTACATTTAAATTGCTTTAATTCCTGTTGAGCTCTGTTTTTATTCAGATCAGGTTTGTCGAAACGCGCGTTATTTTGCTTGACTCTTTAAGAAAAAAAATTTTTCTTGGATTTTCTACAGGAAGGATATGTCCGTGGATGAAACTACGGATTTGTTCAAACGTAAACTTTGTCTTACTACATATCACACTCATGAAACTCGTGGATTTGTGAGTGGTAAGTTTGCGATCCCCTCTAGCAATGTCATTGTTATTTGTTGCTCGTTAAGGCATACTTGAAGATTGTTCGGTTTGTCCATTCTGGTTTCTTATCTCTCCATGTCCAATTTTTAATAGTTCACTTCGTTGTACTAATTTTGTTCTACAAAGTGGACTATTAGAGTGCGACGAAGGGAGTATTCTATCATCCCTCAAACTCCCCTCCCTGCCTGCTGATGAGCATGTTCTTTTTTTCCTGTATGCAAGTCTTCCATGTTGGAAGAACCGGGGTTAAAACGGTGGTCTTGAATGATGATATAGTACAGCTGCAAGAGCAGTACATTGCTGAAGTTGGGGGAGAATGGTATGATATGCGTGCTTTAAACAGAGCTCGGCCTCGCAGTATGGAAAGTCACCGTATCTTCCATGAAGCCCACCCTGATATTGTGTAGCTTCAACGATGCTCGGGCTCGTAGTAAGGAAAGGGCAACGGTACCTGCACTCTTAATTGCAAGAGCTGTCTGATGATGGAAGCTAAAGGGCGATCCTAGTTGTCTTATGCCTCCTTTTGTGAACTGGAGGGATTTCTAGATTTGTCAGTTTTGTGTGGCACTTGGTGGTTTTATTGCTTTTGATTATTGTATCTGTAGACCAATCTATTTATATTTTGTGCTTTGGTGATAGTTCGGTACTTCGGTAAGCTTCAGACTTGAACTTTCAAGCCCAAGTGAAACATGGAATTATTGAAATTTAACTTAATGTAACTCAGGCTTTGGTAGGACAAGGTTTTCCAAAAGGGTGTTTACTGTTTAGCCTTTTTTAAGAATAGAAAATGCGCTTGGACAAGAAATTGGTACTATTTTCTTTCTTTTCTCTTTTACTGTAAGTGTCTTTTCTGGACATTAGGTAAGAAGTGTCCTTCGATTTTTTTAGAAAAAACTTGTTTAAAGTAATTTGCCGGCGAGAAGCAATTTGTTACATTAACACACAAAGAAACAGGGACGATCAGGCTCCAGAGCAAAAGTATTGCCTACTTTGAGACACCGCACCCCTCTTTCATCTTTTCTTCGGCTGACAAATTTTTCCCTTACTTACTACACTTTTTTTTCCCACCATCATCGAACCCTATAATAATTTCCTCTTTAATTTGTCTATTTAATAACAACCATCCAGTCGCGATGGCCATTGACCAATGATTGTGGCCAAGGTGGTCTGGTTATAGAATCATTTAGGATAATTTATGGATAGCCCAGTTAGAAACCGGACCAGTAAGGCCTTCGGTTCCCCAGCTAACCGATTCGACCTTCCGGTCCGGTTCGATTTTGAAAAAATGGTTCAAAACCCCTTCTTAATTCCATACACCTCTCATTAGGCTGGTTTCGACTCTCGGAATATTGTTTTAGTTTTTTTGGTGATTTTGTGTTTTTTTAATAAAAAAAATCCATCCCAGTAGACCTTACTTAAATATTGGTAAAACCCCTTACAAACCCCTGTTGAGAATCAAACACTATTACTAGAAAAGATAACACCCTAACCACTAGCTTATCATTCAATTCCCGGTGATTTTGTATATTTATATGTTTAAACTTGAATTTTGAATTTAGTTTTGGGAATTAGAAAAAAGAAAACTAACAACGACACAACCAATCGCCACCGGAACACCTTTGATGATGGACGTACCAGCCAAAATTCTGACCAAGTCGCCCGACGGTGGTCTTGAGGAGTGCTGCCGCTATTATAGTAGCGGTAAACGGTGGTAAGTGATGGCTTGATGACAACTAGAGGTGGTCGGACAACCATAATTAAAAAAAAAAAAAAAAGAAAGAAAATTTGGTCAAACACATTTTTACAAAGTTGCAGCCCAAATGTGTTTTTTGGATTTTTAAGAAACTTAACATACAAATTCGAAATAAAGATTACAGCCTAAACAAAATTCAAAATAATTTCGTTTTTTATTATATTATTTTGGTATAACAAAGCGAATAATCATTTTAAAAGGGAGAGAGTACTCTGTTACATATAAAATCAATGATATAAATAAAATGATTTTTTAAAGAAAAAGAAAATTAAAAAAGAAGGAGCAAATGTAATGAGACATTGAAAAACATATTCCGATAGAGGGCACAATGAATCCACTTTTTTTGAGAAATGCTTCAGTTTTCATCTTTGGGGGGTCGCAGGTGTCGCCCATTGGATACCAAGCTATCATTTTCAAGTTCATTCAACGTCTTCTTCACACACCGCCCAGTCCACTGAATCCTAGTGCTAATTTTATCATTTTTTCAGATCAATTAATTGTTGCTTTCTTGAAGTTGAATCCATTTGTACGTACCGAATGTTGTTGCAGCAGCCAGCATGGCCCTCTGCTCTCCTCTGAGTGGGTTTCCATATTATCACTCTCATAAACAATTCATTTTGATTTTCCCGTCTTTTTCGTCTTAAAAAATAATTTAAATTATTTAATCGAATTGTTTTAGTTATACTAACTTGACTATATTATGGGTATTACCTCTTCCTAGCACAATTTCGTTTCGTACTTTCACAAATACTTAAACTATTTGTTGACTGCAAGAACTAATTAATATTATTAAATTAAAAAAAAAAAAGAGTTAAGCCATCACAATCTATACAAGTTTAGGTGATGATCATATATTTCGAACTAAAAGACGAACTAATAAACTAATACCTAATACAAAAAAAATCGAATAATAAACTCAATTATCCTTTTCAAAAAAAAAAAACTCAATTATTTGTACCTTACACTAATTAATAAATGTAATCGAGGGACCAAAATACCATACACGGAGATAAGAGCTAGGGCATCATGAATTGCAAATATTCAATCTGCTCCATTCTATCCAAACCCTAATGTTTTTTTTTTGTTTTTTTTTCTTTTTTGCCTTTAGACAAAAACCCAAATGATAATGTTAAGGTATTAGGTGACCATTTTACAAGATAAGAAACAATGTCAAATAAGTGATAGATGGTGAAGTAAAGATCGGAATTAGATGAACAAAAACCATTTCTATATATAATCGAAAAAGGGTTGTCTATACCAACTTTTGTTTTGTTTTTTTGTGAGCATACAGTTGTATTCCAATTAAATTCTTTTGTAAGTGCCTAATAAGAAGGAGATATGTATAATCAAGACCCAAAAATAATGTTTAATCCTTCAAAATGTCTCTCTTACCTTACCTGGAAACATGGAGCACTTGATGACTTAATGTTTTTCTCCTGACTTTTATAGCTCTTGGGTCTTGATGTTGTTTACAGTTTTTTTTTTTATTTTTTTTATTTTTTTTTTACAAAAGCATGAAAATTATTTTAGGAAGATAAACCAATTACAAATGAAAATTGCAAATGTATCACATATTACTAAAACTCTCCATGGTATCCAACAGTTTAGAAGTTCTTGATCGATTTGTAGAAAATGCTTAATTTATTCTGTGCCCCTAACCTCATGTTCATTTTCATTTAATTTTTTTCTTTTTTGACATTTATTTTTGTTTATGGTTCGGCTAGATGAAGGAGCTCTTGAATAACTTGGACAACCATTAGCTAAGCAAATATGATTAAATTTGATACTATAAAATATCACAAATACTTATTTCAAGAATTCTTTCACTTTTGTTACTGATCAATTGGAATAACTATAGTTCTTTGTGGATTAATCTCGAACACCAAATACAGAATTCTGTAATTTAGAGGAAGATTGTTTATTCTGATTATTATTGAGTGTAGCAGAAGAATTACATTGAAACCACTTAAAGATATTCTTCAGTCTTAATCAATACCCAGCCGGTTCCTCGACTGAGTTTTAGATTCAAAACAAAGATTCCATTAATTAGACTTATATATATAATCACAAGACTTTGATACAACATACATACTATTACATTTTTTCTTTCTCTCTCTTTTTTCGAGTTACCACAATTATATTTAATTTTTGCTAATAAATTTTGGTCCTACCACGTAGCATTTTGACTACAAATCTAAACATAGTATATATTATTTTTTATTCATTCATGTAAGTATACATTCTCTTCTATACGAAATTCTTAATAAATTAATTTGTAGAAGAATCTAGGTTTATGGACTATGGTGGTCCATCACACAACTGCAAACATTGGCCTACCACCATGCCTAAAACCATGATTTGAAAACTATTTGTATGTAACTCAAAACGCGAGTACATAACAATGATTGAAATTAATATTTGTTAGGAGAATATTAGCCCATCTAAGATTTATTAAAAAGCAAAAAAGTAGTAAAAGAGAAATAAAAGAATTATCTTAAGGGAAAATAATGAGATTTCCTTAAAGCTTACATTAACATTTTACAATAGTCCTTAATAATAGAAAAGAAGTTGGACGGGAACCTCCTTTTACCCCCTCATAGCTCGATGAAAAAATATATTCGTCTCGGATTTGAATTAGTTGTACACCGAGCGTAATACATTAAACCCAAAAATATTTGTTTGCATGATTAAGTAGTTAATAATTCCTCCATTTCCCTTTCAAATACAAAAACCCCCCAAACTTCCACTTGTCCTTTGTTAGTTGGGGGTCCATAAATAGTTAAAATTTTGTAAACTTATTTTAAAAGCCCACAGATATTTCGTTGCTACTATGGGCTCTCTCTGGGCTTCTTCCTGATTCCCTTGCCGCTCTTCCCAGAATCTAAAACTTAAAAAAAGCCATGTCGTCCACTTTATTCCTACTGTCAAACTGAAATCAAACACCGCCCTCCTCCGCCTCCTCCGGCCCCTCCTCCGCCGCTTTCTTCTCCACAGCCACCGCCCCACACCTTTACCTCAAAATCCTTTTATTATTAACCCTTAAAATTGGAAAATAACTAAAAACTAATCGACCGCTCCAGTGGGTCCGACCCATTTGTTGGGAATTGATTTTGTTGATTTCAATGGAGGACGAGCAATCGGAATTGTCACTCAGTGAAACGTACAAGCTCATCAACGGCAACCGCCACATCATCTTCGGGAAGTACGAGATGGGGAAGCTATTAGGCCAAGGCACTTTTGCCAAGGTGTATCACGGCAGGAACCTCGGGAATTCCGAGAGCGTGGCGATTAAGGTTATCAACAAGGATCAGGTGAAGAAAGAAGGGATGATGGAGCAGATCACCCGGGAAATCTCGGTAATGCGCCTCGTCCGGCATCCGAACGTTGTGGAAATCAAAGAAGTGATGGCCACTAAAAAGAAGATCTTTTTCATCATGGAGTATGTCAGAGGCGGCGAGCTATTCGCCAAGATTGCCCGAGGGAAGCTCAAAGAAGATGTTGCCAGGAATTATTTCCAGCAATTAATTAGTGCTGTGGATTATTGCCACAGCCGTGGAGTTTCTCATCGGGATTTGAAGCCGGAAAATTTGCTCCTGGATGAAAACGGCAACTTGAAAATCTCGGATTTTGGGCTCTCTGCTTTGCCGGAGCATTTGAGAAATGATGGGTTGTTGCATACTCGGTGTGGAACTCCGGCTTATGTAGCTCCGGAGGTGCTGAGGAAAAAAGGGTACGACGGAGCAAAGGCCGACATTTGGTCTTGTGGGGTGATTTTGTATGCTCTGTTGGCCGGATTTCTCCCCTTCCAAGATGAGAATGTGATGAAGATGTACCGGAAGGTTTTCAAGGCGGAATTCGAGTTTCCCCCTTGGTTTTCAGGTGAATCAAGGAGATTGATTTCAAAGCTTTTGGTTGCTGATCCGGAGAGAAGGATTTCAATCCCGGGAATCATGAGAATCCCCTGGTTCTGCAAAGGATTCACCGGGCCAATTGGGTTTTCCATCCAAGAGAATTCCGGGGATGATGTAAAGGAACCGACTTTAGTCAAATCCAAATCGACGCCGCCTTTCTACAACGCGTTTGAGTTCATAACATCGATGTCATCCGGGTTTGATTTGTCCAGTTTGTTTGAAGAGACCAGGAAATCGGGTTCCCTTTTCACATCCAAGTGCTCTGCTTCATCCATCATGGGAAAGCTGGAATCTTTGGCCAAGAAGCTGAATTTCAGAATTGTATGTTCTAAAGAGTACACCTTGAAGATGCAAGGGGTTTCAGAGGGCCGGAAAGGGAAATTGTCAGTGAAAGCCGAGGTGTTCGAGGTGGCGCCGGAGGTGGCCGTGGTTGAATTCTCCAAGTCCTCCGGCGATACACTAGAATACCGGAAATTCTGCGACGAAGATGTTAGACCGGCCCTGAAAGATATCGTATGGAGTTGGCAGGGTGAAGACAATTTCTGCCAAAAATGACAAAAAGAACGCTAATGTATAGTTTGTTGTATAACTCCAATGTTTGGGTTAGACGAGAATCCTCCCCCTTAGCAAAACTCCGTTTTTTTTTTCTTACGGTTTTGTTGTATCAATCTCCCAGTTTTGGTCAAGTTTTGCTTTGTTCTGTGAAGTGCTAATGTGAATGGTTTTGTTTTCTGTGCTGTTTATCAACTAATCCTTGTACTTACAATTAGTTCTGTTTTTTGTTTTTAACTAATCAGTTCGGTAACTTTGAGGTTTCTCCGACCAGATTTTAAGATTGGAGGTCTTATCAGGGATTGGTGGTTGCTATTGTGGGTTGAGTTTGAGCGGTGGCAGTTGGTGAACGACTGAAGAAAAAATATGGTACAGAAATGAAGGCTTTCCTGAGCTTGAAGAGTCAACATCAATTTGGGAACAGATGCCATCTGTAAGAATCTGAATAATTCTCCTAGGGCCCCGGAGCTTGTCAGTGGGATGGTTCATTTGCCCCAAACTTCCCAAATTGGGGAGTTTATGGAGGTTCAAAGTTCAAAGTTCAAAGTTCAAACCTGTTAAGTTAAAAACATTCCCCTTGAGGCAAATAATTTTCTGAACAATCATTCCTTCCTTCATACAGTTCTAAAACAATATACTAATAAATTGGTTATTTTTTAGAAAGAAACACGAAAGTATCCCTTTTACCCTATTAAAGCAGAAGACATGAAGTTTATGTGGCAACTAAGTATGCATCTGTTTTGGCTCCAATGCACCATATTTCAGATTTCAGGAGTCTTTTTGTCACGTGTAAGTCTCTTTTAATTAGAAGTTATATAATTTTTTTTTAAAAAAAAAACACATGTTTTACTACAAATAAGGATCAGTTACATTTCAAACGTATGGATATATTTATTCAAATTCAAATGTCCAATCGTATCGTTTTGCAGGCTTAATATAAACAAAAAATAAAAATATCTAAATCCAACAATTAAGAATAATGCCTTATAAACTAATTATTTAATATTCCCTTATAACCTCATATTTATAGGTATATTTTTTTAAGCCCCAAATCATTACATAAATGATATATACGCCAAATTAATTCCTCAAAAAATAGTAATTCAATTAGATTTTAATAAAATAGTAATTTAGAAGGGGCGCCCGGGCATCTGCCTGGGCCAAACATCTAGTTAGTATTATTTTCTTCGTATTTGTTTAAAATAGTGATTGTGAAAACCGAAATGGTTATTCAATTAGAATTTAATTTTAAGTACAAAATATGCTTAAATATGAAAATACAAACTGAATAATTGGGACGAGGAAGTAATAATAATACCAATTTTAAAAGTTGAATAGTTGAATTAGGTCGTGGGAGAATGGAACAGTTATGTGGACTCCATAATGAATATAGGTACATAGAACGTAGCAGAAAACAAGGTCCATATACCAAAAGGATATTCTTTTGAAGATGAATAAATGGCACAAAAGACACGGTCAACGACCCCCTCCTCTCAATGTCAAAATTTTCACTGAAAAAAAAAATAGAAAAAGAAAAGAAAAGACAAAGGTCCAAAACAAGTTCAAGAAATATAGGATGTATTCAATTATGCACCCCCATTAAACACTAAAAATTATTCAGTACAGCTGTTATAGCACTTAAGATTGTGCAGCGAGACATAATAATAGGGGTAAAATAATAATTTTGGAAGGAGACATAATAATAGGGGTAAAATAATAATTTTGAGAGGAAAAATAATTTCTACGGGAATTTTATCACCAAAATAGAGTGCTAATACTTATTGCACTAAAAACCAAGATATAGCAGCTGTACACAATACTTTTTCATTAAATACTATGAAAAGGATCGATCTTATGCAGCAGCACAATATCATTTGGGAAGCATAATTGATTTATGATAGCAACAATTTGGCTCTTCTACATTCATCTTTGCCTTCTACTCAGTTCCACAAAACCTATCTTATTATCCTTTCAAACCATTTTCTTTAATTATCTTTTTTCTGGTTTTGTAAGTATTTCACTATATATTGTCCCGAAGAAAGAGTACCCCGTTGGAGAGACAAATATTTTCCAAGGGCTTAAAGAAGGAAGATACTTAAAACGGAGTGGTTAGACACCCAAAATTGAAAACAACAATTACATATAACTCTTTTTTTTTTAAAAAAAAAGAAACCTATAATGGCCCCATAAATAATCATCACCGCGTTAGATTAGATTTGGAACAATATTTAACCTATATTTAAAGTGATCAACTAGTTCAATCAGTACTCAAAACTCATCGTAGTTAAATGAGAACAAATGAATATGAACCCCAAAAAAAAAAAAAAAGAAAAAAAAAAAGTAAAAAACAACCAACCGTCTTATTTAAACATTCTTTTCTATGATGAAAAATAATTCGCACGCAAGATACAAAAAATCTACGACAAACAGAGTTTAATTTGAAATGAAGAAACGATTTCTTAATTTTTTTGTAAAGAAACAAGAACTTGCTAGCTAGCTAGCAACCGCACTCTTAACTTGTTTAATATTTTAAGTCATAATCTGATCAAAGATCTTCATTTGTCCTATCAACAGATATTTCTGCAATGAAATGAACACATTCTATAAATAATTCCTTCTAGATTAAGACAAAAGATGTTTTGGTAATGAAAATTAATATATTATTTTCCTAATCTTAAAAGAACGTGATTAATCAATATGATTAACCCAAGAATTATCACAGTTCTAATCCAGTTTGCAGGATTAGAATGGATGCATATTTGCATCATTCTTTCTTATCTCTTTGAAGATTTTTTTTAAAAGATGATCTACGTACTTTTACTCGATTAGCATAATGCAAAAGGGTCAGAAAGAAAGACAAAAAAGGGTGTAGCTTGATGCGTTTATTTTCTCGGCTTTTTTCCTATCAACCGAAAAAAAATATATATATATCTTATCCTTTAGTATGGATTAGGACGCATGCAAGTGTTTGATTCGATGTGGGAGAATATTGTTTATACGTTAAAATTTCTCTGGTTTATCTCATGATCAAAGCTAAAATGATAAAGGATTTTTTACTAAAATGATGCACCTAAACGATTGAAGATTATAGGTCCATTGTTCTTACCTTTTGAGGCAACAATTGAGATGTGCCAACTATCTGATTAGTGTGCTTTTTTTTACACCTAACAGTACTATTGATTCCAACACTCATGTGAGTTGCTTACAAAGTTGCAAGAATAAGTGTGACAAGAAGATTACCATATAATTTTTCTTACTCTAAGTGATACTATCATTTTGGGTTTGGAAATGAGAGGGAGTTTGGATCTTTTAAATAACAATCTTATATGTTTAAGTTATAGAATAGAATAATAAAAAATTGTTGGGAGAAGTCACAATTCCTACAAGGGTGCCCTTAAGAGAGATAAAGTTGTAGTCTAAACTATTCAACTATCTAAACGACATAATTAAGGAGTTTGACGAGGAAAAAACAGAAGAAGATTAAGTTATATATGGTACTCCATCAATTCTAAAATGATTTCTTTTGTTTGTAACCTTTAGTATAATAAGAATAGTTATATTAGGGTCGTGAAAGTACATAACTGTTGATATATGACCCAATATAACCCCATCAGGGTTAATTGTTAAGAGTAAAAGTCAACACAGAATAAAGAGTGGAAGAGCTTGAAATTTTGAGTAGTTGACAAGTGATAGTTACCGACTTACCAATTGAGTTTACAGCCGTAAAGGAAGCCACTTTATCACGAAACAATCACTCTCAGTCTCAGGGAGTGGCTGATTACTACATGCATGATATAAAGGTCCAAACTATTGTTTCTGAATTTGCTATTCTGTACGCTTAAAACTTGATGGTTTGGCACACCGAATTAAAGCTAAATGTGTTTTATTATGCCGTTTAGGTTATGTAAGACGTAGATTTCGAAATAATCATAATTTAAAGTTCTGAAATTGAGCTTGTGTCTTCCTTCTGGCGTATACTTTGTAGGAACAAAATTTTAGCCTTACGACACTTAGTCATCGGATGGACTTAGTATTAATAATGTCTTATATGTCAATCTCAAAGTCGGGAAATTAATACCGCCAACAAGGACAACTAAGATTTACTCATTCCATGTAGTATCTTATCTTATTATCTCGATAGCAAAATAATATAGTAGTATGTGTTACATGTAAACTCAGTTTTCCAAGTTAAATTAATTCAAGAGGACAACACTATATTATTCAATAATTCAGAAAGAGGGGGGGAGGTCAAACAACTAGTAATTAATTAATTGTGACATAATTTTAGTGTATGGCTGTCGTTTTGAAATTGACTTACCGGTGTCCTATTTACTCACTCTATATAATCTGATACTCTTAAATGATGCGCATAAATTTAAGCCACAATTTATTCGCGGAAAAGTCCTGGATTTAATTCCGTGATTTCAAAGTAGTAGTAAGTTAAAAGTTTGAAGAAATTTTGCCCTTGAATTTCTAGACATTCCGCCGGATTTGTTTATTAGTAGTATTTTTTGTGTAAATATTACAGGAAAGTCAAAAAAATCCACGACATTCCATCGTAGGATATATTCTAGGAAATAACGTTGATAATAAAAGAAGCAATAAGAAACTCATTTCCTAGACTCCTCCAGAAATTGAGAAATCCAGATATGCTGGAACTGGAAGTGAGCTCCAGCATCAAACTCTCCCATGTCTTCACTCTTCAATCAACTAACTCAATGATCCATGACCAAGACAAGGACACTAACCAAATTTCCTTGCTTCTTCCACCATGACTCTTTCAGGAGTCGCCACATGTAAATTTCTAGTTATTTTACTGATTTTTTGGGTCCTAATTTGGCTTCGAAGAAATAATTTCTCAAGTTTTTCCATCAAAAACTCCGGTACTAGCACACCATATTTTTGCCTTTTTCTTAGTGTACCAATCCACAACTGACAACTGTAATGACCCCATTTTGTTTACAACTATTATTTCATCTATCTAGTTAGTAATAAAGAGGTAATCCTAAAAATGTTTTTAATTAATTTGGAAATACTGATTCTTAATTCATGACAAAGAAAACATATACTAACTCAAATAATGTGTTATTTCAAAAACAAATTGCGAGGAAAGTGTAACCCTAATTTGGATCCACTCTCAAAGTTAAATATAGTACCCTTTCTGTCTCAAAATTATTATCCAGTTTAAAATTTTATTTTTAATATAATTTGAAATAAAAATAAGAGTGAACCTCAAAACAAGTCATCAAACTTTAATATATTTTCACTCTAGGTTATCAATTAAATTTATTTGTAACACAAGTTACCTTACTAAAGATTTAATCCATTTCACATTATTCTGTTAATTTTGGCCGTTAAATAGTGACAAAAATCCATTTTTCACATGCTTTTAGGTCCAGGGGTATTTTCGTCATTTTATTATTATTTTTTTATTTTTTAATCTTTAATTTTTTTTTTCAATTCTTCTTCTTATACTTCCTAACTTGTATACACTAGTAGTATAATTCTAAATTTTAAAAATTTATTTTCCATTTATATTTTAACTTCTAGATTATAAAATGTTTTTAAAAAAATTTAAGAAATGAAGAAGAAAATATCGAGTTAAAGTAAACATAAAAATTAATAATTTAT